CAGTGGCTGTAAATCCTATCAAGTAGCATATTGGTTCCTGTCAGAGTAATAATTCAAAGGAAAAATCAAATAAAAGGATTTTTCATTTTTTAACATTTACACTACAATGAACTCGCATATCAATTTTATGTTAAAAGAAAAATGTCTTAACTATGCCTTTCGTTGTACTGGTGACTAGTCTATACTTACCCAGCTGAAAATATTGTACATCAGAAGGCAAGGTCGTGTTTGATGGATGCTCATCGATGTAGCACTGTGCAGAATGGGCATGCCAGTAAGCCATTAATCTTGCAATGAAAGAGGTCATAAAAATGGCCAAAATACTGAAGTCCAGAAGGTTCCATGGTTCTGAGATGTACTCCTGAAAGTTCTGCAACCAAATATCTTTACACTCCTCCCATATCTTACCTGTTTGGAAGAAAAAATAAACAGTTTTATTGTGCCTAGAGCCACTTAGTTTCTATTTGATATACAAAAACAAGGAATAGTACAGTGAAGAATAAAGCCCAATTAACTCAATTCAGTTATGGGTCTGTCATGAAACAAAGAGTTTCCATTAACACGTTTAATCAAAAAGTTTCGTATTAAACTGTTAGAATATTTATTTTTTGATGTGCAAGAATTATCTGTTTTTTTTGCTGTTCTTTCAGGATGAATCACATAATTTACAGGAAGTTGCACAATTTTAAAGTTGATAGCACTTTGAAGTGGAGGTTGTATTGAATGGATCCTCACTTTCTTTATTATTCATTAGTTTGGCCTCAGCTCCCTCAGAAACAAAAATAGACTGCAGGGTATTGGAAGAGTATGCAGCAAAATGCAGGTATTCACCTGAATGACCTCACTGCCCTTTACCAGCTCAGGACCCCATCCCTGGGGATCAGAGAACTCCCTGCAGCTATTGCTTTTCCTTTTGTGTGTTTGTTACTTAATTGTTTGCCTCCTACTGTTAGCTGTAAAACAAATTGCCCTATGGGAACAATAAAGATTCCTTGAACCTTTAATAATATTTAAACATACATTGTATTCAAGAAGTTCCTAGGTGTAATATAATAGAGGCTTGAGTTTTTTTTTTTATAAATATGGCCTATAAAACTCATGCAAAGAGACTAGAAGTAGGGGAGCAATATTAAGAATATAAAGAACTGGCTTGAAATATAGTAGGCAAAAAAAATCCATCCTATACAGTGCTGGTCAGCAGTAACACATTTACAATAATAATTGTTGTATTATTTCTAACTTTTCATTCTAATGGCTTTATTTGTAAGGGGAGACGAAATACAACATACATGTATAATTATTACAGAGCCCCTCTGATGACATGGTAAAAAAAATGTTTTTATTGTGGCCACATAGTAGTATTTCGTGCGCACGAAATACTACTTCGTGGCCAGGCAATAAGTTTAACGTGCGCACGAAATACTTATTAATAATATTAATATAATTCCTGGACAACTGGGTAAGCAAATCGAGCTCGCCTTAGACCTTAGAGAAGGCGATTTGCGATTGATTTGCTTACCCAGTTGTCCAGGAATTATATTGATATTATTAATAAGTATTTCGTGCGCACGTAAAACTTATTGCGTGGCCACAAAGTAGTATTTTGTGCGCACGAAATACTACTTCGTGGCCACAATTAAACATTTTTTTTTACCATGTCATCAGAGGGGCTCTGTAAATTATAACAAGAAAAATAAAGATTTTTTTTTTTACGTTTTCTCTAATTCACATAGTCACAACACATACATTACCACCTATATTTTATGGAATATTTCTTTTCAATTTGCAGAGAAAAAAAAACACTTTTTGATGCCATCTAAAGGTCTGGCTTAATTTTTGCTGCATATATATTCATTGTTCTTATCTGAATTTACATGACTCTTATAAAGTCTCTGTGGTTTGGTTTATGTTGTTGTTTTTTGTCATAAGCACAGCTCTCAATGCACAGCAAGTTACTATATAAAGCAAGTTTCAGTCACAAGGAATATAAAGTTGTGTACATGAGAAAAACAAAACAGTAGGTTGAAGTGGCATACCAAACTAATGCTGATTCAGTTAACATTTTAATTAAAACAGTCAAATGAAAAACTAAACAAATGTGTTTTTAACCTTGATTCAAAGAAACTTAGGATTTCAAAACGGCCGTGTGAAAGTTTTTTTCCTAATCAGTGGAGGTTTAGAACTGCTTCTTTGCCATGTTTAGATCTGGATCTGGGTATGCAGAGTAGATCTGAGTAAGAAGACCAGAGAGACTTGGAGAGCTGATACAAAAAGTATTTTTCTTGGTGTAAAACCTTGTTGGCTTTATAGACTAACAGACGAAGGGAGTCAGTGTGAGGACTTTCTTCTTAGTTCTAGTGAGGACACAGGCAGCAGTATCCTGGATTAACTACAAATGCAACTGACATTTTTAGTAGAACTATGAAAACACTGTAAATATAGCAAATCAATTCAACTAAAGATAAATCTAACGATTGGTTTTTCAAGATCAAGTTGAATTAGTCCTTTAACCCTTTAAGCCCTGAGGGTCTTAGGAACAACTTCCGCATCAAATTGGACATGTGAGTTAGAGCAAGTATAGCTATAAATTGGAAATAAATTAGTTTTTATTTGTATGACAGAAAGGCACTGAGGAACATTTTTCAGGTGGAACCACTATTTGAAATGTCACCATTTCTGATTTATAGGTGTTTAAACAAAGACAAAAAAAAAAAAATATTTAGACTTTTCTTTCTTTTTTTTCTTTTTTTCAAAATAAACACTGCATAACACCTTGAACCCCCATTTTGAACTCTGGATGAAGCCTCTGACTTTATAGATCCACATCATGAGTATGACTCAAGCAAATTTGGACTGAATAAGTTAACGCATGTTTTTTCCACAAAGGTTTTAGTGAACAGTGTGCTAGGTGGAAATGGGATTTTAGCATAGTATCAAAAGAGTAAAAACACATTTTTCCACTCATGAAAGGGAATCTGGCTAGACAAATATGCTGGTTTACATTAAAAGAGACCTTGTGCATTAGACAAAGCCTTCTCTCCTAAGATTTAGCCATTGTTTCATCGCAGTTTACCAATAATATCTCCAAATTTTGTAGAAAATAGGAATAACAGAGCTTATGTAACACATGCCAGTTACAACACCTGAAATTGTCACACAATTACCTCTGACCCCTCATTGGAGCCTTTAGTTTGGAAATGATACTGGCCGTTAGGGGTGGGGCTAAAAAGTAATACCTGCTTTTGCATTACTCTTTCAGAGTCATACATGTAAGGTGGAATTTTAAATCTCATTTTATTTGTTATCACAGCTAGAAAACAAAAATTACTTATTTGAAAAAACATTTTGAAACACGTTTTATAATTTTTAAAGCCCCATTTGAAAGGCATGTGGATGAAACACCATGTGACTGTGTTTTGGCTATTTCTATAAATAGATAAACATTAGTATGTGTCAGTTGGGCCCTGGAGATGTTATTCAGGTGATGGGCAGTCAACTTTAGGTGACAGAAAGCTGCCTCCTTTGGTCCAAATATCTTTACTTGCATTTTGTTTTTTCAGCTAAAGAAGAATTGGCACATTTATCCTTTGAATAAGTAAATATCTTTGAATAAGGGAAATTTAAATGAAAAAAATATGAATGAGGTCTTTCCACAGGGAAGTTTTACTTCACCATGAGCTGATAGGTTACTGACCAAGAAAAAAACAGCACTGCAAAATTATCACATAAAAGCATGGTTGAAATTTGGAGTTTTGACAAGTAAAAAGAAGAAATGTTTTACCATCGGAAGAAACAAACACTCAACAATGTGACCAAAATCACTGAAGGGAGTCAGGTGAGGCTTTTTAAACCTTAAAATAACTTTCCAACAGTCAAACATGATTATGGCAGCATCATGAAGAGGGTTTGTTCTATCAGCCGTAATAGTAAATATTGCCCAACATTACCTTAAATCAAACCTACATTATTTAAAGGTGCACAAGTTGTAATGTAACACCAGAGCAATGAACCAAAATACATAAAAATCGGTTTTAGAATGGAAACAGCAAAGTCATGCTTGCGTTTTGAAAAGCAATGATCTATAAATGTTTATAGAAGTCAACAAATTTATACCAGATCTACCAATTTAGGTCAGGTCAACTATCCAGCCAAGAAAATGAAGAAGCTCATGAGTAACAAAAAACGACATGTAGTTTCCCTGCATGTGCCAGCGGATATTTATTTAAAAAATAGTGAAGGTACATGCATATTGCATATTTCAGGCTGTATGCATGATTTTAGCTAAGATTATAACGTATTAACGTTGTGTGCCATATAATCATACCAATCTGGAAAATGAAAAATGTAGTTTAGGTAGCCCTGTCTTATACTAGATATCTGATTCTTCCTTATGTTCCTAACAGACCACTTTGTTCTCACTGTAGGTGTATTGGTGGCTCCAAAAATAGAGAATGGGAGGCCGATCTTTTAGTCATCAACGCCAGGTTTTTGGAAACATCCTTAAATACTAAGATCTGACAATCAGTTACTGCATAACAAGGATTTTTAAAACACTTTGAAGATGTAACAAAACAAAGACGCAAGAAAATGTGCTTTAACAATACCTATGACCCAGAAAATAATAAGTATCTCCATCCAGGTAAAGCGGGTAGTCTTCATGCGAAAAACTTGTGAGGGGTAATCATGGGTGGTCATGTTTGGCAGTAGCGATGTCCCTGCAAAGCGGTCCGCTGCATTCAGAACCAGCAGACAGAGGAATATGATGAAGGAAGCTGCATGAGCCACGAACTTGAGGAAAGGTCCACGCATAAGTTTCCCCAACTGTGACAGAAAAGTGATGTTGACAAAAGGGTAAATAGAAGTATCAGATTATCAGCTTACGGTATAACTTATTGTAAACAAACTTCCAATATTTTATGAAAGAAGAACTGGTTGAAATCATGTGTGACATGTTTTTTAACTAACCTTACTTGATGGTGCTATCCAGTAAATAAAAGCCAGAACAGGTAAACCAACAGCTACACCGAGGACAAGAAGAATTTTAACTGCTATTGTTTGCTGATGCAGTCCAGTCAAGTTTTCATACCAGATTGATCGTAGATGTTGCTGACAGTTTGGATGAGCCACAAACTGCAAAAAACGAGGTAGGTACAGATTTAAAAAAAAGAAAACAATTTATAAAGGAAAAAAAAAGTCATAATACAGGGACAAAGTTCAATACATTTTGTTTGAATTTTATGTAAAAAATAAAGCAAAAAAATTGTTTCTGCTAAGGGGAGGGAAAACATTTCTTAAAATTTGCATCAATAAAATGTTTTAAATATGGGAACCACATACATATAGACTCTAATTTCTGGATGCAGCTGTTTGGGGCTAAATATTTCTCCCTCAGGTGTTAAAAACAGAAACATTATGTTGTCTGTATGTATTGAGGCCCCATTAAAATCCCTGAATAAAATCCAACAAGACAGATTTTCTTCAGAAATTGCCTTAGTTATGTCATATAAAACATCTTCTAAAGAAATATTAAACTGTCCTTTTTTACGTTTCTTAAGGTTGGGATTTTGTTTTATAACCTTGACTTCTGCACAGCTTTATCTCTTAGCTGTTTGTTCTGCTCTTTGGTTTTTATTACAGGGAATTTATTTCTAAAAGTGTGACCTCTAAAGACTGGGTAGGAGAAAAGCATTGCTGGAAGTAAACCATATGACTTGTTGTGAAAAAGATTCAACTAGAGTGGATATGTGGAGGCAGATATTCTAAACAAGCAAACAAGACCAGAAAGAAACTTTTTGTGCGACCAATGGCATGCATGACCCTGAACACCACATAAAACATGGATATGCCAGCATCCTGCTATGGGGATGCTTTTTGATGCACAAACAGGAAAGCTGGTCAAATCTGACAGAAATACAGGGTATTCCAGGAATAAAACCTATTAGAAGCTGCAAAAGGCTACATGCAGCCGTAGCTTTAAGGAAAATGTTTAGATAAAAAGTATAGATGTGTCAGAATGGTCCAGTCAAAGTTTGGACCTAAATCCATTTGACTTTCAGCTATCCAGCTGAAATTAAGCTAATAGGAAAGAAGGAAGACTGACAAAATTAAATGTCTGTCATTTCTCAGCTTAATACTATACATTAAGGTAAAGTGTGGAGTTATATCTCTTTTAAATAAGAATGTTAATAAGTGCTTTTTATAAAGCCTTAATATAGAGATTATTATTAAGGCAAATAAAAAAAAAAAAACCCTCTTGAAAAGTATATACCTCTTTAACCTCATATTTTATTGCAAGTTTCAGCCTTATCAGGTTTGGCCTTCCAGAGATTTCCTGGTCAGCACAGGATTCTGTGTCACCATTTAGGACAGCCTCCACTTCTTCAGTATTCCGACACAAATCCAAGAGTCCCACCACAAAATCCTTACATTGCATGGACAGCCTCTCGTAATCATTCTGTAATACAGAGAAAGAGACACACAGAATACAGTAATGCACTCAGTTCCAGATGAGTGATTACATTTCATTTAGGACATAAAATCAGATATTTAGACATAGATGTTTCTTCTGCATTTTGCACCATATCTATTTATTATATGTATTTATTTATTAAATTATAAATATTTATTTTATTTTTGCTCTGCTATGAATATTCCACATCAATGCGTTTTGCACCATGTCTTATCTACACTGTTTACATTTTGATCACTGCTGCACTTTATAAATGGGAATATTCATTTCACTGCTTGCTGTTGCTCATTCACTGTTGAAAAGCTGTATGTATCGAAATTTGGTTTTGTATACACTCTGTATACAAAAGGACAATACAATTTGTTTAAGTCTAAGTCTAGATGAAAAGGGATTTAGAATGTTTTGCTTTAGTTTGGACAGCAGAATGTGCCTTCTTTATTGCCATACCTTAAACTCTTTCTCAGCATTGGCCAGAACGGCGAGTTCATTGCTCAGCTCCAAAGCTGCCATCACTGGGTCTTCATTTGAAAGGCAAAGATATGCTGGACTTGCCAGGCCTTTGTAGGCGCTAATACGAGACAAAGAGTGGCAAAAGGAGTCACGCCTCTGATGCTCAATGCAGGCCTTGCATTGACAGAAGTAGTCATGTGGACGCTCTATACGGGCCCCCCTCAAAAGTAGCATGTGTACGATCTCAAACTCCTGGCACTGGGAAGCCAGGATAATGGGAGTGATGTCATGAGAAAAACGTGTGCCATCCTCATCATATGAGAAAAAATCATCTTGTGTCTCCTCCAGACTGGGGCTGTTTGTTAGCCTCTGACCGTCAGTGAAGGCCTCATGGCTCAATATGGCTTCTACTATGCGGATGTACCCTTTACTAATGGCTAACAGCAAGGCATCTCCTACTTTTGCAAGTTCCTTCTTTTTAAGCAAAAGCTTGACCACTTCTAAGTGCTCGCTTGCAACTGCCAGCTGCAGTGCATTCTGACCCATGTAGTTGACACAGTTGATGTCGAGGTGAGGAAGCTCCTCCAGCATCCGTCTCACTTCAGGGATGTTGCCATACTCTGCAGCTTCAAGAAACACCTCCTCAGTAATGGAAAGGCAGGAGGAAGGGTGAGCTTTGAACAGGTACCCAGCTCCCCGTGCAGTTTGTCTCCGGGGTTTGGCACCTACATGCCCCATCATCACCAAAGTTCGCCTTTCCCTGATCCATCTGAAAACAGATGAACATATTTTGGTCATATGGTAGTTTAATAAGAAAGACTGCAACTCCCATTGCAGAGGTATCTATATTGCCTGAACATTTTCACACTTTGTTGTTTAACCACTTCTCATCAAACTGTATTATATACATTTTGTATAATAGATGAAAACAAATAATAGGATAATTCTGAGGACAATTTATGCTTCATTGATCAGTTTTTTGTATGTGATAGCAATTCATAATTCAGCCTTACTAAATAAATATTTGTAAACCAATATTTTGCTGCAATAAATAAGTATTTGGGCTATGTTTCTACAAGAGTTATCTATCAAGCGACCATTTTTGCTCATTCTTCTTTTTAAAGCAGCTCAGAAAGAGTCAGGCTGCTTGAAAACCATCTGTCAACAAAAATTTTCATTTTTTTCTCTGGACTTTGAATGATTACACATTTAATACATTCATATCCAATTAAGGAAATGTGAGATTGCTATTCCACAAATGAAATTTAGAGCTTAAAGGGCATTAACGCCTCTCAGGGTATCTCAGTAGAATTTCGTGTATTAGTTTTAGCTTAGCCCTTATTTCTTGGAAAGGTGTAGATGACGTTTTCAGTTAGGTCTGTTGTCCATTATAACTTATACCTGGTTTACTTGTCTAATGCTACCCACCTATTCATCATCTCCCCTTTTATCTTGCAAAATAATTTGTTAGCTCCCTTTTTTTTCTTCTGAGAGACATTTTTTTATTTCCCTTTTATTTAATTGATCAGGACAATCAAATAACAAAAATTATATTTAAAAGAAATTGATGCTCAGGCCCAGTCTTTACTTACACTTTTAGAAGTCAACCATTGAAATTAAAAATAAATCAATGAATCTTATATAAGGTTAAATAGAACAAGAGTCAATGTTCGACTGCATTTTTTACCATATTTATTCATGTATTTTGCATTGCACTGAATCTTTCCATATCAATACTTTTGCACCATGACTCTAAATTGGTTTTCCTTATTTCCTACACTGTTTTACATTCTTGATCACAGCTGCACTTTATTAATGGAAATGTTCATTTCACTGCTGTAAGCTGCTCATTCACTATTGAAAAGCTGTATACATTGAAAATTCATTTTGTATACTGTCTGTTTATACAAAATAACAATAAAGTGTGTCTATACTAAACTAACAAAAATAAGACTTCAATACAGCCCTTGGAGTACTATTGCAAAGTAATTTTTTTTATGATTAACAGAAAAAAACTAAAAGAAAAATATTACGCATAGAAAGGCTAGGGTATTGTTTCTCATGTAAAAGTACTAAAGTGTAATATTTGATAATAGATGGAAAAATACACAAAGTCTGAGGTTTATTTAGCTTTTCTAGAATTGTAAAGAATATTAATTAGCTTATTGCTATGCCAGAAAAATATATATTTTTTTATTTGACCAAAATTATAAATTCGTGGCTATTTTTACATTAATCCTATCTTGTGTTACAGCCAAATGACTCCAGTTACTCTGTTCAGTAAATTGCATTTCAATAACATGGTTATCTCTGGAGATTATTGCTTCTGCACAATTGCTGCAGATGACAAATGATAACAATGCTTCTTAATTTAGCAATAATTAGTGATAACTGTATTACCGGCATTAAGCAACCTCGTGTGCATGTAAAAAAAAACATGATATTCTTCTCCCTTAGTGATATCAGGTACAAAGCTGAGACCATTTAAATCAAACATGCAGGTCCATTGTTTCAAAAGCAGGTGATCTTAAATTCAAAACTAAAATAGAGTGTCCATAACAAAAGTTAGGACCTTTAGATGAATGCTTTATGAAAAGCTATTTTTTTCCTGTAAAACAGAATTTTACTGGCCTTGATTTCTGAGAATGCCTTAAAGACAGAGTCCTGCTGCGCTTCATCCTGATGAACAGGAAGCACTGATTCTCGTCAGGATGTGATGGCTTTGACTGTAAAAATACGTACAATTATAGAAAACATAAGCACTCTAAAAGCTATCATACCATTGATAGTTAATACCATTATTTTGTGGCAATAAAAGGAAAATGGTGAACTGACCTGTTGGAAAATTCCAAGAAGCTCTTCCGCTCAACTCAGCAGAGGCTGGTCCTGTTAATAACCTCTATGCCATTCATAGATCAAATTATAATGGAGGAAATATTACATCCAAACACGGCCAGCTGGACCTCCAGCAGGAACCACCTCATATTTGCCTCAGTGCCACCTGTCAGACTGACACACTGTCACAGTATGCCAACCACCTATGGTTCTCATGGATCTTGTGTTTGTGAGCAGAGTGGGCGGGTTTTGGACAGATGTATAGGTGTGTCCTACCGCAGGATTATTTCCCTTCTTTGTTTTCAATATATATCCCTTTAAGCCTTTACAGAATATAATTTTATAGTATTTTTTATGTACAAATCAATTCTAGATAAACAAAAGTGAAACCATGCACATGTATTAGATTAGGGCATTGTTTTAAATAACTTGAGTTTATCCACTTCCGATTTTAGATGGATGTCTGTCTCAGTGTGTTTTATCCACACTGTGAACACAGACAACGCAATGTCCTAAAATGTTTCTCCATGTTTTGAGGGAAGCAAGCAAATGAAAAAGCGGATTGTCTCAAATCCTCTTAACTCATGATGCAATCAAAAACTGGGGGTAAAAGGCTAGGAAAACACCTAGTTTTTACTCTAGGCAAGGAAAATAATCACCGGAGACAGTGTGAAATAGGTTTATATTTAATCAGTCTAAAATCTACTTGGAAGCACTTGTTTGCATCAAAGCTGCTTTATGGTGGTCTGCATGTCAGCTTGAATATTACACATTTTGTTACTCCACTCATTTTTCAATACTATAATTAGCATGAACAGCAATAGGATATAAACAAAGGATAAGAATTTGTCTCTTACTGTAGTATGCATAAAATATCTGTGTTAGTGTTTGTGTGGCCTGTTTGAAATCACAACTCCACAGGGGTACATCAACGAAATATGTTTTAAGATGTCATTAAATAAGGTTAATTTAAAATCTGGAAGTAGACATGAAAAGATTTTAATGTATGTTTTTCTGCTTTGAACAGAAATGACGAATGATGCAATGCATCAAGATTTTATTGACTAAATTCGAAAAAACTATTTTAAAAGGTAGTTCTGTTTTTCATAAACTAATAAAAGATTATATTTATAATTACTTTAAATATGATAATAACTATGGTTTTACTGCTAATAAAGACATAATATGGTAAGAAATGTTATGTTTGTTTGTTATGTAATATGGTCACACAGTCATAATATTTCATACGATATGAAACAGCTGACTGATATTTTTACAGCAAACAGTCACACATTTTCTCAATAAACCAAATTAGGTGATTGTTAATAAACGCTGTGAATGGAGAGGAAAAAAGAAACTAAATTTAAAATTAAAATAATTGGCATCTTGAAGACCTCAGCAGAGGCACAAGCTCATCCCCTGCTTACCAAACTATATAGATGCAGTAATGAATTTAGAGGAAGTACACAATTAATAGGCAAGCAAAAAGTAGACTAAAGTATGTTTTTGAAAGTCATTTGTCTAACATGTAATAATGCAAGTTTCTGGAAAAACAAAAGTTGGGGTTGTATTCAGTTCAATGCCTTTCCCCTTTTCTCTACCTTTATTTTAATTAACCTGATAATCTTAGTGAAAGGGTCCAATAATTGAATTTAGCTTAGTACCCAGTTTTGTTTTATTTTCAACTGTCTTCTTTTTAATTTCCGACACTTTTTGGTGTACCTGAAGGCAGCAGCGTGGTCGTTAAGGAACTGCGAGGTGGTTGCTATGGTGGAGAGACAGTACACAGAGCGGACACTCATACCTATCTCTGTCAGATAACTTTCCCCCTGTAGTTTTAAAAACGAATCCAGAGGATTCAGTCTTTGTTTTATTAGAAAAAAGTATCACTGCTTGGATTTGAAAATAATAGAGTCGCAGTAGAAACGGAAGAATCAACGGCAGCAAAGAGGGACCCGACATTTCTATCCGTTCATCAAAGGTCCTGGGAGGATGCAAGGAAGCTTCTCATATCTCTTGTATCCTAAAATGATTTGTGTTATTAGTCTTATAGATACAGTAAATGACTTTGCCCAACATAAACACGTTAAATGGTGAAAATGTGCTGAGGTGAAGTTTGGGATTAATGTGTAACTGTTTAATTTATGAGATTATGAAATTTTTAAATTAAAAGCATTGCAAGTTTAGAGCCTTAGACAGATTTTATTTTTTTATTTTTTTCCCCAGGGTTTTTTCCATAAGGACTTTTGTTTAGTTCCGGTTTATTTTTTTTTAGTTTTTTCGTTTTTTTCCGTTTTTTGGGTTTTTTTAATTGTTTTTTTTATTTTTAATTAGTGAAATTAGATTGTAGTATTGTATTTAAGGAGAGTTTAAAAAGTTGGACTAAATGTTTCCTAATAAATAAATTGAAATTTATTGATCTCACAATGGAGAAATCAACTCTGTATTTAACCCATCCCCTTTGGCGAGGCGTGGGCTGCCATTGTGTGGCGCCAGGGAGCAATCTGGGGGTTAAGGGTCTTGTTTAGAGACCTAGAGTGGCAGGCTTTGGGAGTGGGTTTCAAACTCACAACCTCAGGATTCCAAGCTCTATGACCTTACCTCTAGGCTGCCCCTCCCACTATAATGATGTTTCAGGTAGAGAGAGCGAGTGGAAGCGCTTTATTTTAGTGAGGACATTGGCAGCAGTGTTTTGAATTATCTGCAGCTGCTAACTTTTAGAAGACTCTGCAAAGGTGTCAGAGTCCATCCAAACACGCAGATTTCTGGCCTGAGTGTTTTTTAATTATTGAAGCTGCTGACTTTTCGATTGCTCATCTTTGGGTCCAAAGTTAACAGCTCTGGTTTTGTTTTTTCAACTGAAGAAAGTTCTAGCACACTTTTTGTCAAGTTTTTCTTCTTAGCACAGTATTTCACTTCCAGACACTCCAGACTGGGATCCGATGTAAATCTGGAAAAAGAGCGACAACATTTGATTCAGCAGCAGAAGTTGAGCAAAGCCCGGGCTCGGAAATGTTTGCTGGAAACGAATCGACGGAGAAAGTCAGTTTCTCTCTTCGTTTTCTTTCTTTAATCTTTTTTTTCCTTTGCTGTGAGAAGATGTTTGCAGGTTACAACCCAAACATTTTCAGGGAGACTAAGATTACAGGACCTGAGTTCCTTGGCTCTCACCCTGGAAAATGTCTCTGTTGCCTTATATACTGTAATCCATCACTCATTAGTGTGAGATCTAAAAGGAGTCAACTGACAGCTTCTGCTGGTCTGAGTTTGTCAGCTTGTTATTTCTCTGAGGGCTAAAGCTGCAAAGGTCTTTCCTGCATGGATCTAAAGTCTCTTAGCCATACTAATGCTTTTGTATGTGTCTTTCTGTATCAGCAAAAGTGTAAAGGGTGTAAAGTTCTGTTTTTAAACAAAGAAAAATGTATTTCGTTATGAAAGGAAAAATTTTGGAGCTTCCTTCTCTTCTTTCTTTCTATTGTGTAACGATTCACAATTTGTCTTTGCGCTGATGTTTTGCTGTTTAGTTTAATAGATTATAAACTCTACAGCTCCTAAGAGGTTAATTGATTAACATAAGTGCACACATATTTCGTTTTGCATTACAACCACAAACCACAATGGTTTTCAGTTAAATCATATAAAACTGATTTTTGGGAAGTGGAATAAAAAATATTACTTGATATTCAAACGCCTGAAACAAAACAAAAAAGTTGCAGATGTTTGCACTAATACCCCAAATAAAATTCAGAGCCTTTAGAGGTTCCCCCAATTGGTAAACAGGGTCCATCTTTGTTGTAATTACACCTTCATGCCTAGCAGTATGCCTTGGCCAGCTTTCCACAGAGTTTTTCCCTATTTCTTATACATGAATATTGTAAGTTGTTTCAGAGCCTTTTACCATTTTTGAATGAAGGCCTTTTTTTTTGCAGGTGTTCCATAGAGGGAAGATTTGTGGAGTCAGTTTTTTTTCTCTCAACAGATTGAGACTGAGACAATTACCAGTAGAGCAGCCTGTTTAGTTACCAGATGTCTTTGAATGCCTCTCTGATTAATAATCTCCTTGTTCAGCCTCAATTTAGGTGGACAGCCATGTCTTTCCATGTTTGGTTAATTCATTAACACTGTAATTCCCAAACTTTTTTTGCTGGGCCGCCTTTCAACACAGGTTTTGCACCCTCCTCCCCCCAACCAGCCTTTTCAACTGTATACTGCATTTAATAACATATTAAAAATAATATAAACTACAACCGGGCTGCACAGTGGGGCAGTGGGTAGCACTGCTGCCTTGCTGCAAGAAGATTTCTGGTTCAATCCCCAGCTCAGGGTCTTTCTGCATGGGGTTTGCATGTTCTCCCTGTGTATCCACAGTCCAAAAACATCACTGTTAGGTTATTTGGCTTCTCTAAATTCTCATTAGGGGTGAGTGGGTGCGTAAATGGTTGTTCATCCTGTTTGTCTCTGTGTTGCCTTGCAAAAGACTGGGTGTACCTCGCCCTTAGAAATCTGGAGATAGGCACCAGTACCCCTTGCAATCCCACTAGGGAGAAGCGTGATGGAAAATGGATGGATTGATAAACTACAATCTTCTTCAAATCACAAAACTACCCCTTTTAGATTGTAATCATTTTAAGAATTCAACATTACTATTAATACTTAAAAAAAAAAAAAAATTGAATTTATTTCCTGCATGCCTGAATGCATGTTGCCCGGCTCTTGGCCTCCTTAGCCATTGCGGCGAGCTGATATAAATTAAAGATGACTGCTATTTGACATTTCTGAAAGAAAATTATTTTTTGAATTTAAAATGTTTCTGCAAAACATGAAAACATGGGACTCTCAAATGACTGTGTTTGTGGCTCAGGGCTTTGGAAGAACGGCAGAAACAACTGGAAATTCAGGAGGAGCGGCTGAGAGAGAACATCCTGCAACAGCGCAGACAGAGAGTGGAGGATGCAACCAAGCGCTTTCAGAGAGCCCATCTACCACCATCCCAGAGATACAGGCAAAGTTAGTGTTGTGTTTCACACATGCAACGCACAACTAAAAGCTCATTTATTAACAACTTACACTTAACATTAGTGTTTCCTTTATTTTACAGCTTTCAGAAACAAGGCTACTAATATTGAAGATGCACTCAGTCAAATCCAAAGCTCCTTGGCTTCGTATAACCAAGACTCCTCTGCACTGTCCACAGCAAATACTCATGGGTATAATGCCTGACTTTAAATTGCTCATACTTTGGACACATAATAGCAAAAATAACAATACAGCTTCCCTTTATATCTCACCGATATATTGTTTTTTGATATGCGCTGCCTGGACAGGAAAGGTCATGGGGTTATATTGATATTTGGTTAAGCCTTCAAAAAAATGAAACATGTGCCACTAAAAGTATTTTTGACAAGTGTCCAGAATGTTATATTTATTTTCTTTAAAGATTTGTGTGAAGTTTTTGCCAAGAATTAACAAAATATCCAAAACAAAACAAGTGGACTTCATTTCCTGCTAGTGAGGAAGAAGACAGGTTTCTCCCACACCAAATCAAATCTTTGCCACAAGGAATTAGGAGATTTCTGAAGACAAAATAAGGTCTAAACTGGTTCTATGATGGTGTGCACACTAAACTATATGGTGAGCATAAATCTGAACCATATAAAGAAAAAGGGTGCACTACAGGAGAACTCATTATATTCCCATTCACAACAAAACAAAGTTTTAGGCATAATAATGTAGCAAAGATCAGTTATGTCACATTACTTAATCTACTTATCACTCTGCAATGAAGAAATGCATAAATAATTAGACTATAGTGTAATTTTTGATTGCTCCAGAGCTTATCATTGCTCTTTGACAAAAATAACTCCATCAGATTTATAATTAATCGGAACTCCACTTATTTGTTTTGTTTCCTTCCTTTTTGATAATATGGCCAATTTGAGAACATAGCAACAACTTTTGCAAACTATGTAATATATTTGCTGAAAAGGCTTTTCGAGGAATTAAGTAACTCATTGTCTCCACTGGGTTAGTTCATTCCTCGATGTGATTTTTCTTACTGGAATTTTAGGTATTGTTTACTATTTTTTTTTTCTAGCTGAGGGAATGATATTCAATTTAACTTTCTCTCTTTTCTCCTTGAAAAAGTTTCCCTTATTCTACAAAGCCTCCCACAGATTCTAAATCCTCTCACCGCCAAGCGCTCTCTGCTGTGGAGGCCTATACTAAGCTGCTTCAGGAGCAGTGCACCATAGAGGAGGTATTTATGTATATTTATATATATATATATTGTTTTGTTGTTTTTTTAAAGGTGCACTGATACTTGAGACACCACTAGGGGGCAGCACTAGCTTTTAGGCATTCAATTATTCTGAATAGTGTCTTTATTAAAATGTTCTTTAAATTATTTGATTTTCCAACTGCCTTGAATGTCTTATGTTCTGTAGTTTTACTTACTCTTTTCTTATTTACATGTTTAGTTTATAATATTTAGTTTTAGAGTAAATTATTTAACTTCACATAAATTCCTGCATAAATATTTGAAGAGCTCTAACTACTTGTTATAAAGGTAGGCTGAGTGTCTGTAGCTCTGATCAGAATTTACTTTGTTTGGTCAAAACCAAAACCAAAACAAAAAATAAAGTACTGGTATCTAGCCGTTGTCAAAATTTTTATTTAAATATATACTAGATCCACTCCTTCCACTGTTTTTCTGTTTTTCCTTTCAAAATGATCATAGCTCTTGGTTGCACTTTAAAGTATTTGTAAAAATATGAATCAGTGCTTTCAATCTTTATTTCATCCTTTTCTTGCCTCCTTGTCTTAGGAAAGCCACCATTCTGATTCCTTGGTTTCTGAAAGCCTGTCAAGTAAGGACAGCTTGGAGGATGAGGACTCAAACCAAAGCCCATTAAATCTGCACAGCTCCTATTCATCATTCTTTCTAGATTCAGAGAACCAGAAAAAACAAACTGATTTGAATTCAACATCAGACCAAACTGCAGTCTCAGCGATGATGCTTCTTGATCCAAATCCGGCCAAACTTAGAAAATGTGAGGATTGCAAGCCAGAAAACCAAGAGAATTCTAATCTTTGGACTAATAACAACATGGTTGTATCCAAAACCTCTCTGAGGTTCTCATCTGAGAAGCGAACACCAAATGTAGATAACCCCCTAACCCTTAAGCATTGTGACCCATTAACTCGTTCCTCCCCTCTTAATAGAGACTCAGTGCATTTGATGAACAGTCACAGCAACAACCTTCTGGTAACAAATGAAGTTGGTACTGTTGATGCTGAAGAGGAAGCTTTATGTCCGAAAAAAGATCCTGCTAGATCTCAGATCAATGATAGTCAATTAAACTATTCCTCCACTCAGTACAATAATTTCTCTCATGAAAACAGCTTTCCATTTGAGTCACCGATGAAAAAAAGCACAGCCAATGATCACCCAAATGATACATTCTTTTTGCATATAGAGAAAGAAAATTTCCACCTGTCATCAAAGAAAGAAATCTGTGCTTCCATAAATAATCTTAATAAGGTCTCGAACTTAATATATGAAACAGAGAAGCCTAAAAATGCATCATTGCCATCATATTCAGACCCATCGAATATTCAGATAGAGACAGAGAACTGTCCAAAAGAAGAAGATATCAGACTACCTATTTCAGTGCCCCCCTCTGTGTCAATATGTGATATCAGATTTCTTAAAGGAATCCTCAAAAAACAGTCTAAGTATACTTTAGAAGATCCCTGTTTGCATGATTCAGGGGGTGTAACATTGGCAAAACATGTAGCATTAGCAATAAGAGACAGTATTGAATTGACAAGAGCAAAAACAAAAGATGTGGTGGTCAATAACACCATGAAAAAAAAGCTTCGTTGGTTTGACGAGGTGCTTCTAGAAAAGGCGGGTAAAGAGCAAAACAAAATGAAACAGGATAAAGGCATGTCTCACAGTCTTTTTAATCCAAAAAACGGCTCAAAGGACCACCATCAAGTTCTTACTACAGAGGCCGAGTCTTCAAAGCCTGCATCGGGAATGACCCCCACAGATCCTGCTGGTTATCACTTTACAAAAGAAGCATGGGCAGATGTTGGGGTTCAAGTAAACTTGCCCCAGGAGCAAGCAGACGAGGTCAAGGCGCGACGTACCAACACCAGGACTATTGGACCAAAGGTTCCTCGGAGAACTCATAATGCCACTGTTGTTGGGGGTCCTGTTTCCTCCGTGACAAGAAAGGGCACTGTCATACGACCTCAATCTGCTAGCGAGGTGAGTCAGATTGTCAAAACCCAAGGGAAGATCATGGTGCCCCGCCCACCTCCTCGGACAGAGCCGATGGGAGAAAAAAAAGCATGCATCAGAAAGACTCCATATGGCACCAACCACCCTGGCATCGATCATAAAGAGCCACTCGGTGCACAAGAGGCTCAGTACAAGAACAATTTCGCAGAGGTTTTCACATCTAACAGTCATCCTCCAGTCCCAGCAGATCCTACCGTTATGTACACAATAACACCACGCTCATATCCCTGCCCAGTCTGCCCACACTCTGACAGCAGTGCAAAAGGCACACCCAGTTCAAGACATCAGGAGACACACAACAGCAAAGGAAAAGGGACGATGAATGAGAAAGGCGTCTGTTTACATAGAACCCCCACAGATGAAGAGATTCTTCACGTCTGGCATGGAGTCCGCAGCGCCCTAAACACAAAGGATGGTAATGTATATTTTGACTGGCAACCACTCACTGCTTAGTCTTAGGTTAAATGCTATTTATATAGAGATTTGCAAAAGGTTATTGTTTTGTTTGACTTTCTCATGTTCAGTCAGGTTCAGCCACAGACTTCTATGTATTTTTTAGGGGATGAAAAAAAAGTGTAAAGTTATAGGAAAATGATCCATTGTTTATGTAGGCATGGATACAGGACTCAATCTGAATGAGTCCATACTTTGTACCGACTCAAGGTATTACAGCTGCATGTCTTTCTGGAATACAACATTGCCATGGGCATATAGAGATTGAAATGTCTCCCCATTCCTCTCTGAGCTTAGTAAAATTGGAAGCACCTGACAACAAAAAAGGTTATTTTTTCCACAGATTTTCCATTGGATTTATTGTCAGCCTAGACTTAGACTGGGCCATTCTAGCACATGAATATGCTTTGATTTTAAACTTAATTGTTTTCCTGCTTTAAGGTGAAGCTTTAATTGCACCTGAAGTCTCTTGGAGCCTAATATTCAAATTCTTTATCACGCTCTAATGATCTCTGTGTATCTTATCATCTCTGACCAACTTCCTTGTTGTTGCTGAAGAAAAGCAACACCATAGACCTGCTATCACCATGTTTTACAGCAGGGCTTGTATTTTCAGTTTTGTGTAAAGCGAGTTTTTCATTACATATAGCTTTATTACTTAAAGCCACATCTTAAAAGGTTTGCTTAATCTGACAATCATTTCACCATCCTCCATAAAGCTCAGATCTGTTGAGCTTACATCTAGCTGAACTTAATGGAAAAATTGCTGTTATTGATAAAAACACTGAAAGACTTGATACCTTCACTGCTCCCAAAAGGCCAGACAAGGTAACTTTTATACAAATGAAACATGACGTTGTCGTAGGCTTTGTTCTACCCATATCAAAGATATTATCAAATATGCAGGTTTTACTCCTTCTGTTGATAAAAACTTGTTAGCTTTATGAACTATCAGTATATAAAAACAGCCAGAAGACAAAGGGGGGCTTTCATTGTCACAGTGATACATGAACAGACTAGAAAAACATGCCCTCAGAAAAACTAAAATTCTAATGAATTCTTCTTTTATTGTCGTAATTTCTTTCATCTCCTTATTGAGCACATTGCAGATGATATGCTTGTGTTTATTCAGTTTCAGTTAATGTCCGTTTTGGTCCTCTACACGTTTTACTGTCCATTAAAACAATGTTATGCTACAGTACACAGACGCTAAGACCAAGCGGAAAGCCGCAGCTTAAGTTTAAGCCATCTACCCTGAATTTAGACTGCCCACAAGCTCCTGATTGTCCCACCGTCTTCTCTTGTGTGATTGTCTTTCACCGCTGTCACTCCTGAGAAGCTCACTTTACAAACATTTAATGCGGCACTGAATCAGGTCTGTGATTGGATGTTAGTTATATAAAAAGTTAGTTATATAAAAAAAAATACTTGCGTCCCCCACTTCTGAAATCAAAATTTAATTCATGCCCAGAGCCATCTCATTTCCTCAAATGTCTTTTAAATAAAGGGACCACCAACCTTTATAGAAGTTAGGTTTAAAGCGCACAATAGTAAATTCATAGATAGCTGCACAACACATGAAATGCATTAAATGCAACTACAATAATTTAGCTAAAGGGATCAAAAGCCTTTTACTTTTTTTGCATGTGTCCTTTTTGTTTGGTTGTTCATGTTTATGGGATTTCTGTGAAATATCCTCTTTTAGATAAACCTGCACTTAAAAAGCAAGCCCTGGAGAGCAGGCGAGTCTGCGGGAAATCCTGTGCCGAGCAGAGCAGACAACCTCCTGGCTCAGGAAGTAGAAGATTTCTTCAAAGCTTTCAGGTAAGTCTGTGTACAGGCCCCACAGTTGCCCTCTGGCGAGTGAAAGAGAAGATACTTATTAAAGATCCATTAGGTGGTAGGTTTAAGCATGTTTTGCTGCCACTTCAATGCAATGCATTGTCTAAATGAAACTGATTAACAGACATTTTATATTAGTCACAAAAAGACAATGCTTCTGATCTAAAACAAGGATAGACATGTACTTGCTAACAGTGTTATGGAATATTTAAGATCCCAATATAAAGCTTATCTGCAATTTATCTTGTTTTTTTTGTAGTATATGAACCAGAACTCTGAGCTAATGAGACCTGGTCCAAGGAATTGCAACATAGTGTCTCGAAATGAAGGTACTGGATTATGTATTTTATGATTATGATTAGTTTTTGAAAGTATATGCAGCCTTCACTGCTTCCCTAAAAGAAATGTGCATGTAAGAATTTTCTTATGATCCCCATATTATTGACAACATATCCAAATTTAATCCTAATATTTCAAAGTGACTCCAACCGACAGACGAGACAACACCATCCTAAACAACTTGGATTCAGAAAATTCAGTGCATTATGTTGTCATTTTGCATGACCCAGGTGTATAACTGGTAACTCCAAATGAGAGGTCTCATCGCTTTTCCAATCAAATGCTTTCTTCGTGCCACTCTTTTATTAAAGTCTATATTTTCAAACTTTTCCTCTTTACAGATCACTTCCCCTGAGCTGTCGATCTCTGCAGCTCCTCCAGAGTTACCTTGAACCTCTTGGCTGCTTCTCTGATTATTTTTCTCTTTATCTGGCTTGTCAGCTAATGTGGGCATTCATGTCTTGGTAGGTTTCCAGTTGTCTCAAGCTCTTTGTTCTTGTGACTTATGGACTGAACCAGTTTTCTATGGGAGCATTAAAATAACCCTAATCTCTACAACTCTCTTTGTGACCTGTTGCTGTTTTCCATAGGTTTTATTCTGACGTGTGTTCAGTAACACCATTACAGAACAGATGTAATTAACTCTTCAAAATTATGTTATTCTTATACATTTTTCTAAAGTCTTTATTTGTGTGTCCAGTTTTCTATCATCTTTTTGCTGCTGTAAACACCAGAATCTTCTATTGTATTCTATTCTATTATGCTAAGATCAAATAAAACACAAGTGGACTAGGTATTTGGGTGAATTCTGAGAAAAAAATGCACTTCTGTTTTTATTATTAATGAAGTTCAAGGACTATATTTCTTTAAAAGTGCTATAAAGATGTATGTTCCAGTATAACTGTTTTCCGTTGTCCTACAGGTTTTGAGAGTGCAGCCCGGTTACACATGGCTGAAGTGCATCCTGAAGGCCTTGTTAAACCGAATCAGACTGTGGCCATCATGAAAGCGCAGAGGCCTGAAATAGCACAGCAGGGGCTCACCACTCTTTCTTTTGAAGAGAAGAAAATCATGCTCTCTCTGGACAAACTCAACCACCAGCTGTACTGTAAGCTATTAGTGGAGGCTACATGCAAGAGACTTTAGCTGTTTGACAGAACTTTGATATCTAAATACATCCAAAGTTGACATCTTACTCATTTTCTATCATACTTGCAGGTTTGAAGGAGCATCAGGGAGGCAGACCTGGCAATAATGGTCAATTAATAATCAGTATACCCTTTGTAAGTGTATAAAAAAAAAAATGTTTTTACTTTAGCATCAAAACTTAGTGTAACAGAAGTGTTTATTTCTTTTCTTGGTGCTTCTTTTTTCAGACCGAAGAAGTCAAAGTTTCGAATAATCTCAAGCACCGGACATCTTCTGCAAACCAGCTTCATTACCAAAAGAAAATGTAACATGTTTGACTCTTCACACCCACCAGTTCTAATATAAAGGTTTTGCATTAAATAATTATTTGACAAAATGTGTCTGAGATTTATCAATAAAAAGAATTATTAAGAAGTAATAATATTAACGAAATGTGACAAACTTAAGCCCTGACTTTGGTTTTGTATTAGTCAATTTTATATATATATATATATATATATATATATATATAT